CTCCGCGCTCTTCGGGATTGGAGAAGCCGCATTTCGAAACAGAGCGATGGCCAGCAGAATTTTACGCCGATCTTCCTGTCCATCAAAGGCACACAGTCGGTTTTCAACGGAAGCGGTGCCCAAGAAGCAACAGACCTATTATTGCTTGCGATGATTCATCCGCAGATGCCTACATACTATGTCTGCAGAGAAGATGAGACCTGGGCCCGTTTGGAACGAGCCGTTATCGACTACGACAAGAATCGGATGGACCTCGCTCTTCCCTCTTCGCGTCTACCATCCGTCTCCGGTCCCGCCCCGTTCCACATGAACCACGACGGTCACGCGAAATATCTCCAGCACATATCCACCTATCGGCGTAGCCGAGTCATCCTTCCTATTGAAGATTTACGTCGCGCCCATGAACTCGGGCTCTTCATACCTAATGCACGGATTCAGCCCAATGGACATGCATCAGGTGAGTTCTTCGATTTTTTCTTTTTTGCCAAGCTTGTTCTGAAGGGGTCCTTGCATAGTTCCTCTGAACTCCGAGACAACAGATATTCAAACAGCGCAAACACCAAGAGCGAGAAGAGGGCCTGCCTAAGCGCAACGGCAGCCAAAACGGGGTGGTGTGTTACGTATGAGGTTCCGAGTATGCGGGATGAGGTCGAAGAGGGCTAGGAGATGTGCTTTTTTACCACGGGCGTAGCGGCCAGCCAGCGCACCGGATGACACATGGTAATTTTACGGAACATTCCTCGATGATCCGGATCCGTAAGTACAGCATCCGACAACAGAGTTGGAGAAACCTGGAGGTAACAATATCTTATGACCTGTGATTCTGTCAAGCCCATACCTCACTTTCATTCTTGCACTTGGATAAGCCTCGACTAGTGGAAGACGTCCTCCATCACCAGTTTTGTTGTCCCGGTGTTTTAAACAAGATCTGTATCTAAGGATCATAAATATAAGGTATCGGATCAAGATCGACTGAAACCAGCAATCTGATGATTATCACCTCATGTTGAGGGCTCTGGTAAACCAAAAGCAATTCAAGATCTACCGATCGAAATAAAGAGCAAGCAAAATACTGATTCCACTCATTAAAGCCAGTGCAATAACACCAGGTTTAAAAAAGCACCGAAAGAATCAAAGACTTAAACCTCATATCAATAACTCGGGGCTAACAGATTTATTGGAGTGACTGAAACAAGTCAAAAGACGCATGACTGACTGCGGCGAAAACATGAAACAGATCCTCCTGCAGGATGTAAGGATGAAGAGATGAAAGCGAACAAGTCAAGTACGTAAACTGGGCCAAAAAAAACCTCACTTTTGGCGGAGAAAAATCGGAAAAACAAGTCTAAAAATAAATTTTTAGGACTCGTAATCTCATGTTCGGCCCAGTCTAGCAGTCCAGGGGGGATCATATTCCACCTCCAATCAGCTGAATTGAGGCTGGTAGGGCGAGTAATAATATTGCCTCCCAACATACTGTTTGGCCGATCCGAGGCTTGTAGGGCACATAATATTCATCTCACATTTGGCTGAGCCCAGTGGTCCAGGGGGGACTAATATTCCACCTCTGATCGGCTGACCAGAGGCTCATCGGGTGCATGATATTAATATCATGTTTGGCCGAGCCCAGTGGTCCAGGGTGATTATTATTCCCCCTCCAATTGGCCAAATCGAGACTCATAGGGTGGGTAATATTATTGCCTCCCACCATACTGTTTGGCTGATCTGAGGCTCATAGGGCACATAATATTCATCTCACGTTCAGCTGAGCCTAGTGGACCAGGGGGGAATTATATTCCACCTCTGATTGGCTGACCGAAGGCTTGCAGGGTTCATAATATTAATCTAATGTTTGGCTGAGCCCAATGGTCCAGGGGGATTATTTTTTCACCTACTGTTTCACTGACCTGAGACTCGTAGGGTGCATAATATTTTCCCTTTCAAATATACTGTTCAGCTGAATCAAGGGTTATTGGGTGCACAATATTATTGCTACAAGAGCACCACACACCCAGAAACTATCTCAACTCAGCACAACCCTGACTTGTAGGTCCAATAATATTGTCAGTAATATTATTATTGCCCTACAGTCCAGGACTCAGCTGTGATTCCGGCGGACTTAGGGGAGCCCTAAACTCTAGGGATTAATCATATGTAGGGGGCCTAGAGTGTAGGGCATTGTTGACTGCAGGCACTGGACGGCCAGCCATCAGATCATCACTCACCATGCAGATAACAGGGACTGAGCCGGGACATTTACAGGGCGCCGACGTGGCTTTGCACTCAGTGGTCTGAATTGAGGCGGCGGTGGTTCGCGGCGGGACGTGGCGAAGTGCGTGTCCTTCCTATCGGACGCGGCGTGTCGAAAATATGACATGGCGTTCAGTACACTCGACGCGGCGCTTCCACACTTGATTCGGCGCCTCCACACTCGACGTGGTGCTCACCATAATTGACGCGGCCATACCGCGGTGCCACTCACTATGCTTGGATGTCCCTTCAACCACACGACAGCAAGGGTGGCCGAAGATTAAATGTTTCACTGCAATTGATCATCTCCGACAATACATCCCATCCTATTGAAGAAATAAATATAATGGCTTCAAGTTCTGAAAGACGCCGCAGTGGCGCGCATTCTTGCAGTCAGACCCACGATTGACATGGAGGCAGTGTAAGTTGAGCAAATCTCGAGCTCAGAACTGGTATTTCCAGTCATGGGTTGAATACAAGTGGTTCAACAACCGTTGACGAGCGGGCTGAGCCCGATCGACATCGGAGTACTTACAACAATGATTGGGTTGATGAAAATGAAATAAAAAAGTAACAAGTGCACTCCACAGCAGTTCAAGGGAGGTAGAGAGTGTTGGTACATGCTTCAGCAGAGTGACTATCCAATGATTAAGAAGCCAAGAATTCAAGATTCCGTAAATTAGATAAGGTGTTCAGTTGGGAGCTTTCCAACATGATTGGTGGAGACGTCGAAGCGAGATAGAGATGGGATTGTGTGCGGGAATGAAGGCAGAGCAACGCGGCACCACTGTGAAGTGACGCGGCGTTGACGCAGCAGCGGTGCGCATTGACGCGGCATTGACACGCAGTGACGCGGCACTGACGCGCATTGACGCGGCGTTGACGCGGCACCGGCGCGCATTGACGCGGTAGCAGCGCGCAACTGACGCGGAGTTGGCGCGGTAAGCTCGACTTCGTGTCGTTTATTTACCTTCCAAATGAGCGCTCAATAACACATTGTAAATCCCTACAGTGAACAACCTTTTACAACACAGTCTGGTGCCCGAGAAACCCCAAAACACATACTGATCACACAAAAACTGGAGATTTGGGCCCTTTATTACCTATTACACACTGTATTAACCTCAAATAGTCAAAGGGAGTCTTGAGGGCACTCATTTGGATGGCTGTGGATGGGAAGTAATGTAGCTTAGTCGGGCTTAGTCGGGCTTAGGTATTGCCGCGTCAGTGCCGCGTCAGTCCGCGTCAGTGCGCGCCGCTCCGCGTCATTTTCTCCTGACTCGATTCGAGGGCCCTGGACTTGGATATGGCGGTGGGAGGAAGAGAGCGGTGGATATGACGTGCGCGCACCGGCACTAGCGGCGAGGGAAGCGCGGAGGGACGGACAGGACGGGAAAAGGTGCGGTAGTGGCTGGGAGCGCGCAGGTTTGGGTGGATGAAGGGCGGCGGAAGGGACGGGGTCCGCGGCGGGGTCCGATGGCGGTGGCGATGGCGATGGCGAACGTAGACAGGACATGGTCCGGGGTAGGGACAGAGGGCGGAGAGAGCGGACGGAGGGAGGGCAGAGGAAGGAGGGAGGGAGGAGAAGGGGCGTGTGTGGTAAGAGGAAGAGAAGGCGAGGGCGAGTACGAGGAAGGACAGGAAGGCGAGGAGAGACGGACGCGGAGAGATGATGAAGAGCATTGGAAAGAAAGAGAGGGCGGGAGGAAGTGAAGCGGCGGAGTGCGAAGGGAGAGCGCACCAGGATGATTAAGATGCGGTGAGGCGGGGAAGGGAACGCTGCAAGCGCGAGGCGGGACGGGCCATGGATACGAGAAGGGGACGTGCGCGGGATACTAAGTGGAGGCGGGGCGAGCGAGCGATGACGGGCTAAGATGCAGGAGGATGAGGACGGGGAGTGAGGTGCTCGGAGGAAGGAGGGAGGAAAGGCAATGTAGTGCGGTGGATATGGACGCGTGACGCGGGGACGGCGACGACGTGGGGTAGAGGCGATGAAGGCCGGCTCAGCGTGTCGATGGTTAACGATGCGACAAGTGGGTGAAAGAAAGTGCAGAACGTTGTAGAAAGAGAGGAGGAAAAGAAAAGTGAATGGAGGGTCTGAATGGCGATTGAGAGCCACGGGGAGGGGAGGATGAAGGAACTAGATGGCTAATGAGAGCCGCGACGATTAGGGCGCGTGCGATGGGACTCGAGGGAGGACGACGTGAGCCGGGTCCATCATGGAGTGCGCGCCGATGCCGGTGTCGGTAAGACGCGTCGGAGAAGACTGTTGAGGAGGGCTCGAAGGACGCGGACCCGGAGAGGGCGGGCCGTTTGGGCGAGGGGCGCGAGCGGGGTGTCGACAGCATCGAGATCGAGATGGTGGTGGAATCAGCGAGTTGGTGGATGGGAGCACGTTGCCCGCAACGTTGAATTGCTCGACGACCGCGACGGCGGTGAGCTCGAGTGCTCATAGGCCTCAGCAGCTGGGCTTGGCACTAACATACCCGCCGAATTTGCTTCCGGCTTTACCCGCGCCACGCCGCCAAGGTCTAGACCCGGATCTCAGAGCTAATAATACCCATCCAGAGGAAATTAGACATGGTGTAGTCGAAAACAGGCCTCTTCAAGTGTAGAATATAGCTGCCAATGTTTTAAGAGGCAGTCCAGGGTCCAAATCCCTGCGTCTGAATAGACCTTGGATGAATTGGTTAATTCTCACACTCCCTCGAGCACCCTAATAAAACCGGCCGCATGGAATGGGAAGTAACTCAGACATGGTGTAGCGGGAACACAGCCCCTTATCACAATCAAGGTGCATGAGTTCTAGAGGTAGTTCAGGGTCCGAATCCCTGTGTCTGAACAAGGGTTTTGTTCTTTCTTTTTATTTTCTCACACGCCCGCCTTCGAACTCAGCTTCAGGCTCCAAGCCAAACATACCTCCTCGCGGCTCGAAGAATGTAAACTCAGCCGCACCCGGAGTGTACATTCAAACACCACCCAGCTAATATTCAACCAGCTGATAAAACCAACCCAAATCCCTGTAAGAGAACTCAGACACGGTGTAGTGGGAGCACGGCGTCTTTTCGGAAATGTAGCGATTGCAAGAGGCAGTCCGGGGTTCGATTCCCTGTGTCTGAATTCTGGTGAAATGTAAGGTTTTTTCTCTTCTATTTGGCCGCGTGTTGGACAGGTAAGGCTTTTAGAGGTGATCCAGGGTTCGAATCGCTGTGTCTGAATGGTCGTATTTTTTGGTCTCCCATCGTGAATGTGTATAAAATGCAGCAGTAGTCATCCACCCAACGTAAATTTTCGGATCGCCGCCACTGTGTCCTTCCGGCCTTCTGTACTCTCACAAAAAAATCCACTGTAGCACGGGCTCAGTATACAGTCGTGGTTCAGTTCAATTTATCGTTCAATTCATCATCCTTGCGGTACTTTGACTGCGGTACATCTCATGATCAGGTCATCGAATTAACCCCGTCTTCAAGCACAACCCAACTCGGGCGTGCACTGATCTCCGGGAACCACCGACTTCCGATGAGGCAGGTTAAACCTGTGGGTTAGTGATCATTAACCATTTCAACCGGTTAAACCAGTCGGTTCAACTTGGTTAAACGGCGAGAATCATATCATTTCTTCTTCAAGATGGCTTTCATTTAGGCTTCTAAACCCATGAGTCAAGCTGGAATTGAACGCAGATCCAATGCCCCTCGTTAAAGGTCAATAAAACATACCTGTGCGAGCAACGCAAGCGCAACGAAAAGGGTTTTCAAGTCTTCAAGTTTCAAACTCCGCCGTCGGCTGTGATTGTTTGGCCCATTGTTCAAACAATGTGCGTGCCACTCTCTTCCTCCTCCCATGTCCACCCCACTGCAGTCTCTCCTGGTCTATCACCCCTCACCCCCACCCATCTCTCTTCATATACAGGCCCTTCCATCTTCAACGGCCAACTACAGCGCGCAGCAGCCTCGTCTAGACCGCTAAAGGACAACAACTCAATCACAGAGTTACAGGCCGCTTGAGACTATGAAAACTCCTGGAGGTCAGAATTCACTTCAAGTAAACTCCCTTGCTCTCATACTGACATGGCTTCCAGAGTCCGATATTCAGCTTGGCCGCGGCGTTGAGCTAAACTTTTCACGCGCGCGGTTTAATCCGGGTGGGTTTGACAGTTGAAGTTGCCGGTTTAGTAATCCGTTTGGTGGGGCTAACATTAGTATCTTCGTAGACAATTATTTACCGGATGGGTGCATTTGGTTGATGTTGGTAGGGGTAGAGGACCGAAATCAGGGTGTTTAATTGAACAGTTTAACCGGTTAAAACGGTTAATGATCTACAACCTCCGAGGTTTAACTAAGCTCATCTAGGTTACTGAACCACAGCGCGACGTTCGGCCGCGCCGTCATCACGTCGCTCCCCATGCGATTGGTGAGTAGCTCAGCGTATGGGAGGTGGTAGAGATCCGCCAGCGTGATGTGCTGGCGATGAGTTCAACAGCGAATTAATTACATGAGTAAAAGGGCACGCACATCACCCGCAAGGTACTTCGTCCTCCCGTGGATCTGTTCGTATGCATCCACCTCCGCGGGGTCTGTCGTCCCTCCCACGTGTCTACATCGCTAGCATTTAGCCCGGCAAAGCATAACACGAGGACGAGAAGGAAGACACACGGCTTGATGAACACCTCATGCACGGGCTGCTCCGCGGCGAGGAACTGCGTCGCCTCGATCTCTATCGCCTGCTCGAACATGCCCAGCTCCTCCACGCCCGCGTCCTCTCCAACGATGAGCCCCGCCGTCCCCTGCCTGCGTATTTCCGTGCGATGTAGCGCCCCATCGCGCGCGATTCTGTTACACCATTTAAATAAACCCTTTACACGCTTTCCCGGGACAGAACAGAATACAGAAGGAAAGGTGGCGCACCGAACAAAACATACCCCCCGTCCTCAAGCACGGGTATCTGCCCAAAGGGCTGCATCTTGGCCTTGTACTCGGCGCTCTTCGCCCCGGCAAGCGCGGAGACGAGCGTGAAGGGGACTTGCTTCTCGAGGAGAATCAGGGAAACGCGCTTGGTGCAGGTTGAGCCCATGTCCTTGGTGTAGGTCGATGAGATCCGGGTGAGTGAGTGAGTTAGGTGATGATGATGAGGGGAGGGTGGGATGGAACGAGATGGGCACGTACGCCGTGGAGCTTGAGGACAGTGGGTTAGAAATGAAAATCCGAGGAGTGGGAAAGAGAGGCCTTGGGATTGGCGGGGTGGCGTGATTGTGAGTGAGGAGAGGAAGAAGTGTACGGGACCCACTGCGGACCCACATGGACGGCGACACGCACTGCGCCGTGATGAATCCGATAAGCCTGTTCAGCATGCCAGCGCAGGTCGAGGGAGCGGCTGAGATGTGTTGTATGTGATTGGCATGTGTGTCGGGGTGAGGTGAGTTTGGATTCCTTGGAGATCTTCGATTATCTCCCAGTCGTTCTTCAGATTACAAGCGCCTCCGGCTCGGAATCATCGCCCGATGCTAAGCTCCTCTTCTGCAAGAGGACCGGCCATCACATTCTATCGAAATGCGGATTGTTCGAGAACCTGTGTGCATGAGCCTCAGTATACGGCGTGGCATCAGTACCGTGATCGAACCGTGGGAAGCGTGACATGACGGATGTGACAATTACATGTTCAAGTTGCACTGCGTCGCGGCGAGGATCCGTAACACCCCGGGATATTTCCACATTTCCTCGCCTCCAGCAAATCATAATAAGGCATTTGCCCTGATTAAATCTATTGAATACGGAATTGAACATGAATCCGGTGCGTGGTTATATAATGTGCAGACTTCTGGTGCCCAACATGGGTGATCAGCTTCATGAGTTCCCACCGCCTCGCCGTCGCGCACTCATTTTTTTACTCTCCCAACCCATCGTATCATGAAATTCAGCCCTGAGCGAGCATGAAAGGCGCGAACCGGCCGTCATCTCCCACCGGCACGCAATCACCTCCCCTCGCTCGCCTCACACAGAACCCAGTGATTTGAGATCTAATATGCAGCAAGTAGTTGTAAAAAAAAAACTATCTGTACGCTGCAGATTGTGTCCATGAATGTCGGATTCCCGGCGCTGTTGAACATCGATCACGTGCATGGTTGAACTTGGCGAAATAACTAAGTCCAAACTTGGACATTGGGCTCTGACGCAAAGTACTTGGTTTTCCGAAAACTTGAAAGCTGAACTCTCCGGCCGCAAAAGAGAATCCATTAATTCATTCGCACCAAACTACATCAGATACTAAACTGGAGTGTGAGGTTGTGAGATATACTATAACGCCAGCGCGGCCGTCCAAGAACATCATCATTTTCGGCGTCGCCGTGGTGTACTCCGGCCAGTTGGGGACGTTCCTCCCGTTCGGGTCGAAATCTGTGGCGAAATTAATCAGGTAGTCTGTGAACTCACTGTCGTAGTAGATGTCCAGTTTGTCGGACGCGTGGAACTATTCCACGATATAAGTTGTCAGCGCGATGCGAGAGTTCAGAGAGAACTCACAGAGCCGAGGAATGGAAGTCCTTGAGGTGTTCGCTCACTGTATGGGTATTGAATACTCATTGTAAAATGAATCAACCAACTTACGGAATCCCCACTGCCTTTGCTTCCCAGAATGGCTGTGCTGGCAAAATCGGCGCGGGGCCTGGAACACATAGTCACCCTGCTCATACACAAATTAATCTTAGTGTTCTGATTTCCAGGAGAAGGGAAATCACCTGGACGGCCGAGATGCGCTTGAACCGAGGATTAAGCACAATTGAACGCCCCACGTCGAATGGAGAGCCCTTGGTCACATCGTTCGGACACAAAGCGGCCAGATTCTGTACCTGCGCCGTGCTCGCCTGCGGCGGCCAGATTGACCCAACAGATTCGTGGAATTGCGCGTCCGTACCGAGTTGGTCATCACATAAATAGATACAGCGGGCAGCCAGATATACAAACAATAGCACAGGATGAGTATACTCACAGATAATGTCTTTGGAGAAATGTATGCTCCGTCTGGTTCAACCCCGGCTCAATGAATGCTCTCCAGGTATTCCAAAAATCTCCTCGCGATACTGAGCGGTCGATATCGTGTCCGAAGGGAAACCACTAACCTTCGCCTCTATCAACTTTCCATATGAGACCGAAATGGACCTCTAAATTTTGTCCGCTGGAAAACGATATCCGAATCTCGTCAAGCGAGAGGTCAATATTCCGACGACAGTTTCCAATAAGGTTTGTAGCACTGGTGCTGTGATCTTGACCGCCCTGGACTCGCGTATGTCAAAGATCCGTATGCAAAGCGACTCGACATATCCCAGCGCGTGCATATTTTGCTCTAATTCAAGTCTGCGTGAGTCCATAAGATGCAATATAGGGAGGTACGCATTTCAAATATCTACTTTCGTTATAATGTTCATTTCAGTAATGCCCCCGGATGTCCGGATCGACGCCTTCTGAAGGCCAGGTCGCATTTGTCGGGTTAGGGCGATCCCACTGGCCGAGCTCGCGGTGTCCTTGGGTCAGCCAGCGAGAAAGCGCATTGGGATCGGGTGCCGTCAGCTTTATCCCGGCAGCCAACGGCAGCGCTTGAGGATCGCACGCAGAGACCTGGCCATCGATTGAGTGGACCTCGAGGCTTGCTTCGCCCACGCCGCGCAACTTGGGGAAGACAGCGGCGCGGGCCGCATCACCTAAAGGCCCACGTTCGAGCTTAAAGAAGTGGAGGAGGAGAACGAGGTTGGCATAGAAAATCTTGTTCACATCTGCGGCGATGGACGGTCAACAAATGGTTCTGCTAAATAATTAAAGGCTTACTGATGACGCCCATGCACATGCGCCGTCCAGCGCCATGATCGAGGTGGGGGACTCCAACGTTGGGTTGCTTGATGTCTGTGCGACCATAGTGCCCATCCATCCAGCGCTCCGGAACGAACTCCTACGGCAAATCATAACGCTGTGGGTCCCGGTTGATCTGGTAGGAATTGTACACAATGAGGACACCCTTGGATATGAACATAACGTCGACGACGAAATCCTCGTGCGTCTCGCGCGGGAATCCGAGTCGAATAGACGTGAAGTACCGGCCGGCTTCCATTCCGAGTGCCTTGATGTATTCAACACGGTCCGTATCCAGCGGGTCGGGAGTCTCGCCACCATAGACTTCCTCGATTGCCCGGTATGCCTTTTTCTGCATCTCCGGGTGTGCGGCGAGAAGGGCGGCGAGCCAGATGAGACTGGTGCCCGCGCTCATGCCCGAACCAGTCAGCATCGTCGCGAGGCGCAGCTTCTTCTCAGGCGTCAAAGTGTCGTGGTTAGTGCTTCGAAAAATGTTTCGATCCATATTAGAACAGACCTCGCCTCGACGCAACCGTATCAGAGTAAGCACGAGCGGTGCGAAGTTAGCAAAGCCGCGAATAATCCAAGCCGAACACAAGCAGTACCAGCAGAGTCCGAGGCAGGTGAGTAGCGAGAGATGGGAAGAAGTTGGTCAGGTGGTCGGACTTTACGCCGATCGAACTTTATCTTCCCGACTTTTCCTTGAACGAGCACATAAAACTGTGCTGAGAAGTAACTCAGACATGGTGTAGCGGGAACACAGCCTCTTTCATTCTTCGACAAACGATGTTTGGAGGTAATCCAGGGCTTGAATCCCTGTGTCTGAATGGTGGAATCTTTCCCTTTTCATTTCTCCCGCTTTCCAACTCAGGTTCCAGCTCCAAGTCGAACATTTCTACTCGCACCTTGTAATTGGAATATCTAAAAAACAAGAACCCTACTAGTACATCCAAACACCACCCAGCTATACTCAACTAGCTAATAAAACCAAGCCAAGTCCCTACGAAAGAACTCAGATGTGGTGTAATGGGAACACGGCCTCTTCTAATTTGCATTTAGCGCGTTCGCTCATTTACAGAGGCAGTCCAGGGTTCGAATCCTTGTGTCTAAATTATACTTTTCCTCCCCTCTCTTTTTCTTGTATCCTTCATCGAACTCGCCAACAAAATTACCTGGATGTACCGGGAAGGAACTCAGACATGATGTAGTGGGAACACAGTCTCTTCTCGTAGGTGAGATACTTCCACGTTCAAGAGGCAATCCAGGGTTCCAATCAATATGCCTGAATGTGCTGGACTCAAAAGCATTTTTCTTTTTCTTTTGTTATTTTCCATTCCTATCGAACGCGGCGGTATTACCCCACCTCGAAGAAGCTCAGAACACGAACCCCGCTCACTCAGTGCATTCAACCAATATCCATTTTTTTGGGGAAAAATTAATAACAGCACTACATACTTGCACCTTGCACCTCCCTCCGGCCCCAGCTCGCCCGCACCTCTACCTACCTACCTCCCACATACCGCCCAACGTCACCCAACCCGCCTACACATGCCGGAATCATAAATCAAAACCCCCGCTCGCTCTCGTTCGCGTTCGTTCCCATTCGTGCTCGTCGGAGGCGATGCGCGCCGGCCGGGACTTGAGTTTGCGAGCGCGGCGATTTGAGAAGGGGCTGGGATTCGGATTTAAGTTTCCGAGCGCAGCGAGAAGGGCTGGGACGAATTATCGAACGCGGGGATTCAGATTCGAGCCGCGGACTTGCGAGCGCGGGATTCGAGCCTGGATTTGAACCTGCATTTATTTGCAAGGGCGTGCATTTGCGGGACGCGGAGATTCGAGACGTGGATTGCGAGCACGGGGAGTGTGATTGTGATTTGCGGTCGATCGTACGCGCGGGTGAGGATTCGAGATGCGGTAGACGTGGAGCGCGGGCACTGGTATTCTAATTCGGAGCCACAGCTGGGGGCGACAGGTGTCGATTTGGATTGGTGTTAAGTTGGTTGGTTCATTTTACAATGAGTATGCAACACCCATACAGTGACCAAAAGCCTCAAGGACTTTCCCTTCCTGGTTTCTGTGAGTTAGTTCGCCACTATCGCGTTGCGCTGAGAACTTATATCGTGAAATAATTTCACGTGTCCGACAAACTGAGCATCTACTAGGAAGGCGAGCTCACAGACTACATAATTGATTTCGCGACGAATCTCGGCCCGAACGGGAGGACCGTTCCAGCTGACCGGAGTACACCACGGCGACACCAAATATGATGACGTTCTTGGACGGCCGCGCTGGCGCTATAGTATACCTCATTAACCTCGCGCTCCAGTTTATTATCTGAAGCAGTTCTGATGCAGTTTGGTCTGCTGTGCGCGAATGAATTATGTGATGGGGTTTTTTTTTTGCGGCCGGAGAGTTCAGCTCTTAAGCTTTCGGAAAACCGCGTCAGGCACGTGATCGATGTTCAACCACGCCCGAAATCAGACATTCATGAACACAATCTGCAGTACATAATCTGCAGCATACAGATCGTTTTTTTTACAACTAATTGCCGCATATCAGATCTCAAATCACCAGCTTCTGTGCGAGGTGAGTGAGGGGAGGTGATTGCGTGCCGGTGGGAGATCACGGCCGGTTCGCGCCTTTCATGCTCCCTCAAGGCTGAGTTTCATGATGCGATAGGTTGGGAGAGTAAAAAAATGAGTGCGCGACGGCGAGGCCGTGGGAACTCATGAACTGATCTCCCATGTTGGACACCAGGAGTCTGTACATTATTCAACCACGCGCTGGATTCATATTCAATTCCGTATCCAATGTAATCAAGGAAAATTATGTTTTCTGATTTGCAGGAGCGGATGGAACATGAGGAAAAATACAGGGGGTGCTCTTGCCGGATTCTCGCCGCGACGTAGCGCACTTCAACTTGAACATGTAATTGTCACATCCGTCATGTCACGCTTCCCACGCTTCGATCACGGTTGGTGCCACGCCGTATACTCATCGACACAGGTTCTCGAACGATTCAAAATCCAACGGACATCCGCATTCCGGTGGAATGTGATGACTTGCCCTCCTGTAGGAGAGGAGCCTAGCATCGGGCGATGATTCCGAGCCGGAGGCGCTTGAAATCTGAAGAACGACTCGGAGACAACTGAAGATCTCTAAGGAATCCAAATTTGCCTCGCTTCAACCTAATAACAATTACATAAAACACATCTCAGCCGCTCCCTCGACCTGCGCTGGCGTGCTCCATCCATGTGGGTCCGTAGTGGGTCCCGCGCACTTCTTCCTCTCCTCACTCACAATCACACCGCTCCACCCATCCCAAGGCCTCTCTTCCCCACTCCTCGGATTTGTATTTCTAAGCAATGGTCCTTAAACTCCACGGCGTGCGTACCCATTTCATCCCATCCTACTCTCCCTTTCCCCATCATCATCACCTAACTCACTCACCCGGATCTCATCTACCGACACCCAGGACGCGCGCTCGACCTGCACCGAGCGCGTCGCCCTGCTCCTCCTCGAGAAGCAAGTCTCCTTCACGCTCGTCCCCGCGCTCGCCGGGATGAAGAGCGCGGAGTACAAGGCCAAGATGCAACCCTTTGGGCAGATACCCGTGCTTGAGGACGGGGGGTATGTGCTGTTCGGTGCGTCACCTTTCATTCTGTATTCTGTTCTGTCCCGGGAAAGCGTGTCGAGGGTTTATTTAAATGGCGTGATAGAATCGGACGGGGGGCTAAATCCCACGGAAATACGCAGGGCAGTGGACGCCGGGGCTCATTGTTGGAGAGGACGCGGGCGTGGAGCTGGGCTTCTTCGAGCAGGCGATGGCGATTGAGGCGACGCAGTCCCTTGCAGCGGAGCGGCTCGTGCACGAGATGCTCATCAAGCGGTGTGTTCTCCTCCTCGTCCTCGTGTTATGTTTTGCTGGGCTACATGTAAGCAATGTAGGCACATGAGAAGGACGACAGACCCCGGGGAGGTGGTGCGGCTCACGGGGCTGCTTGCGGCGAAGATGAATGCATACGAACAGATCCTATTGTGATTGATTCGCTGTTGAACTCATCGGCAGCACATCACGTTGGCGAACCTGTACCACCTCCCGTACGCCGAGTTGATCACAAACCGCATGGGGAGCGACGGGATGACGGCGCAGCCGAACGCCGCGCGGTGGTTCGGGAGATCAGCGCGCGTCCGAGTTGGGTTACGGTTGAGGATGGGGTTAGTGTTAGTTCGACGCGACGGCTTGAGGCTCAGAGCGGGGTGCGATAGAAGCCATGGATCGGATTTAAATTTGAGCGGTGGTCATTTTGTGCAGGTGAAGGTTAGGAATGCAGAAGGAAAATTAGCGGAAAGTCTTGGTGCATGGCTACGGTTGCAAGTGTTGCATATAAATTATGCTCTGTTCGCGTCACGGCCGCACTCCTGAGTGAGGGCAGCCGCAAGCAGGGAGCACAGTAGAAAAACTTAAACCCTGCTCGCTGCGTTGAAAATCTTCGGCGGGGGAACCGGTTCAAGACTAAAATCCAACTTAAGGTCCACCTGCGTTTAGGAGTGGAATCAAACATGTACATAATGAAATTCAGCGAGAGACCACCGAAAAACAGATCCAACAGATTTATTCAGAGACACAAGGATTCGAACCCTGGATTACCTCTTATGATCAAATTCCGATTAATGAGAGAGGTGTTCCCACCACACCATGTCTGATTCCGCTGCATATTCCTCGCTGGTATTTATTAGCCCCGGGGTTGAACCAAGGTTGAACCATCGCATGTGGGGTGCATCCGGAAGCAAATTTGGCGGGTATGTAAAGGCTGGTGTCAGTGCCCATGCTGAGGCCTACGAGCATCGTCGAGTCCGCGCTGGCGTCGAGTCAGTCGACGTCGGCGACACATCGGTTCGCCATCCTTGCATCATTGACGTCACCTGCTCCCATCCTTATCGTTCCACCACCACCCTACACAGCTCGATGCTGTCGTCACCCCGCACGCGCGGCCCCTCGCCCAAACGGCCCGCCCTCTCTGGCTCCGCATCTTTCGAGCCGTCCCCAACAGTCTTCTCCGACGCCTCCGACACCCACCACCCCGTGCTGTACCCCGGCCGCGTCGTCCGCCTTCGAGTCCATCGCCCAGACCATTGCGCCCTCCCGCGTGCCCGTGGCTCTTGTTAATCATCCACTTCCTTCATCCTCGCCTCCCCGTGGCTCTTATTCACTATTCACAGCCAGTTCCTTCCTTTAGTTTTGGTCCTCTTCTTTCTGCCTAGCAGCGTTCTGCACTTTCTTTCACCGCGGCCTTTTCGTCTTACCCCGACGGCCCGCAATTGCATCGTCCAACGTCCCACTTGTCGCATCGTTAACCATCGACAAGCCCACGGCCCCATCCTCTCCATCGCCTCTACCCCACGTCGTCGCCGTCCCGTCATCCCGCGTCACGCGTCCATATCTACATTGCCTTCCCTCCGTCTTTCCTCCGCGCACCTCACATCCCGTCCCTACCCTCCTGTGTCCTTTCCCGTCATCGCTCGCTCTCTCCGCGCCCACTTACTATCCATGCGCACGTCCCCTTCTCGCATCCACGCGTCCGTCTCGCCTCGCGCTCGTAGCATCCCCTTCCCCGCCTCTCCGCATCTTAATCATCCTGGTGCGCTCTCCTTTCACATCCCGCCGCTTCACTTCCGCCCTCCCTTCGCGTCCGTCTCCCCTCGCCTCCCTGTCCTTCCTCGCCCTCGCAATCGCCCTCGCCCCCGCCCTTTCTTCCTCCTCTTACCGCTCACGTCCCTTCTCCTCCCTCTGTCCGGCCGCTCTCTTCGCCCTCTGTCCCCACTTCGGTCCGTGTTCGTGTCTATGTCCGACCTCGCCATCGCCATCGCCATCGCCATCACACCCCGCCGTGCATCCCGTCCCCTTCCGCCGCATCAGTGTTCAGCTGTCCGCGCCTCCCGCCCGCCCTCCATCTACCCAACCCTGCGCGTTCCCAGCCACCGCCGCACCCTTACCCGTCCTGTCCCGTCCCTCCGCGCTTCCCTCCCCGCTAGTGCTGGTGCGAGCGCGTCGTATCCGCCCGCTGTCTCTCCATCCCCATCCCCATATCCAAGTCCAGGGCCCTCAAACCCCATTCATGCACATCGAATCCCCGCGTGCGCAACTCCTCGTTTCGGATCCCCGCATATCTCAACTCAAGGCTCGACTTTCCGTCCGCGCAAATTCAAGGCTCGACGCGTCGTCCCTGCGCGTGGCTACGTCGTCTGCAGCTCCGGATCCGGATCGAATCTGAATCCCGACTCCAAGTCCCGTACAAGCACATCCGAAATCCAGGTCTCGAATCTGAATGCCCGCGATCTCAAATCCCAAGTCTCGACTCCCCGCGTCTCGCACCTCCAAACTTCACGCGCATCACGTCCCGTCTTGACGCCGCATCAGGTCCCATCCCTTCTCAAATTGGCGCGCATCCAGATTCCAGATGCAGATCCCCCGGTCGCAAGTGCAGGTCCGAGTCTCGACTCCACGCACTCGCAACTCCAAATCCGAGACTTCCTCAATCGACGCCCCCTCACATCCTGTCCAACAACTCAGAGAACGAGCATAGACGAGTGGTTTGATTTATAATCCCGCGGGCTGTGTGGGTGTGGGTCGGTTTGGGTGGCGTTGTGCGATAGTGCGAGGTTGGTAGGTAGGAAGCGGAGAGGTACGGGCGAGGCGAGCTAGGGGCGGAGGGAGGGCGCGGAGAGTGCGTCGCGAGGTGCAAGTATGGAGAGCTGTTATTAGTTTTTTATATACATAAAATGGATATTGGTTGAATGTACACCGACTTCCGAGTGAGCGGAGTTCCTGGTGGGGTAGTACCGCCACATTCGATAGGAATGGAAAATGACAAAAGAAAAAAAAGCCTTAGTCCCGACTTATTCTGACACAGGGACTCGAACCCTGGACTGCCTCTGAAATTTCATACCTTCGCATTATTAGAGGCCGTGTTCCCACTATACCATGTCTGAGTTGCTTCTCAGTACATCCAGGGACCTTTATGAGCTCGTTTGAGTATTAGCAGGGTTTTGGTTGAATATTTGTAGACCCTGCTTTTTAGATATTCGACTTTCGAGGCGCGAGCGGGAATGTTCGCCTTGGAGCTTGAACCTGAGTTCGAAGGCGAGAGAAATGAAACGGAAAGGAAAGAAATTGAGTGACCAAAAGTCCTACATTCAGACACAGGGAGTTGAACCCTGGGCTGCCTCTCAATTTCACTCTTTACCACCAGAACAGGAGGCTGTGTTTCCCTTACACCATGTCTGATTTCCTCTCTGGTACATCCGGGTACTTTTATGAGCTAGTTTGATTATTATTAGTGTTTGAATAATTGTAGACAGAGCGGGGTTCTCTTTCTTTCTTCGTGCTGTGGGTATTCAACCCTCAGCAGCGGGTTCAATCGTACGGTGCGCGCAGCGGTGAGAAAATGAATGTGAGCAACACAAGACGAAAAAAGACTTCTCTACTCGAATCCAGACACAGGGGATCAAACCCTAGCCTGTCTCTCAATTTCTACCCAAATTCCCAGAATAGGAGGCTGTGTTCCCACTACATCATGTCCGAGTTCCTTTCCAAAACATCCGGGGAGTATTTATGAGCTCGTTTGAGTATTGCGTTTGAACACTGGCAGTGGTGAGCTCGATGGGTCTGAGCAGTCTACCAAAATCAGGAAAGAGGACCGCAGCCGACCGCAGCCAGCCGCAGCCCTTGATCACGGCCTCTGAAATATGGGTCTATGATATCATGGGCTGGGGCGGTCTCCCGAAAATCGGGGTCTACTGTAACCGTGGTTCAAACTCAGTGCAACCTTGCCGTCAATCCCGAAAAAAAAAATGATAAAATAGAGGGGCAGTGGGGTCTGTTTTGTGCTTTAATCTCCTCTCGAGTAGCGCTGGAGCCGTGGGTGATGAACAGAACGAAGGAGTGACTATCACGTAGGTACAGTACTTGATTGAATAACAACTCCATCGAGTTGAATATACCGATATCGGCGCGGTTGTAGGGATTTGAATTGAGGGGATTGGAGTTTGCTGAGGAGGGAGGGGGGATGAGAGCAAATGAAAAATGCGAAGGAACGTGAAATTCAGATACAGGGATTCGAACCTCGGACGGCCTCTGATATAATCCCAGAGGTGATTATTGCTAGAGGTCATGTCCACACTACACCATGTCTGAGTCTCTTACTCCTACATCCGGGTAAATTTATTGGCTTGTTCAAAGGAGGCAGGAAAAATAAAAAGAAAGATAGACCATTCAGATAGAGGGATTCGAACTCTGGACTCTGAAAGCGGATCCACACTGGTATTGAAAGGAGGCTGTGTTCCTACCACACCATGTCTGAATTTCTGGTACAGTCTTGTTGGCGAGTTGAAGGAGTGCAAATAAAAGAGTAATGAATCCCATGAACTCAGACACACAGATTTGAACCCCTGAAATGTAAGAGAGCAGCAATAACAAGAGGCTATGTTCCCGCTGGTGAGTTCCTCTCATGCTTCCACGGAAGTTTTTATTAATTCCTTCAAGGAGGAAACTTAAGAAGGAAAACCATCGACCAATCGACCATTCAGCCACAAGCATTCTAACCCTGGACTGCCTCTGGAGTCTGAAACACATGTAGACAATAATACAAGAGGCCGTGTTCCCGCTACGCCATATCTGAATATCTCTCCCCTTCCTAGTTGTGTTGTATTAGCACCGAGATCTTGGCCGTCCAACACGCGTCCATACAGAGAGGAGACCCAGTGGCGAGCCGCGACGGTGGAGGAAGAGGAGAGCCACAAGCGACGTCACTTGACCTCGGTGATTTCCGAACAGTGCCCTATCCGGAAAATGCGTCGGAGATCATCGGGATGCCCCTGAGTGCGTGGCTGACGAAACATCTCACGCCATGGTTCTTGCTCTCAGCTGCTGTGGCTGTCGGAGTCGCCCTCCTACACAGATCTTCATCAAACCCTTGCTGTGATGTTCTTCCAAAAGCTCTTTCGTTTGAGCTTTTTCACCGCCGCTTGCACTCCTAGGCAGCGGCTGCTACTTTATGCCCCTTGTACTCCTGACTCCATTGCTTTCAATCTCATCCTCGATCACTTTAAAGGCTCTGGAGCCCGATCTTCCGCGCCAGTGTGGTGGTGTGGTGGAAAGAATCTCTGTTCGCCGTCATACCTGCCGTATCAAAAACACCATCTGCATTTCAGCGGGCTGTCCGTAGGACCGATAGTATCATTTCACTGTGCAGCGAGAATTATGTCTGATACTTGTCTGTTCTACTGTTCAATTCCAACCTCTTGCAACCGCCTTAACAACATTCAAGAGCAGGAGAAATGTGAATACGATTACTCAGCGCCTCCGAAGCTAACGCTCAGCTCGTGTGGACGATCCCCACGCCGCAGGTACAAATTTATAAGCGACGGACAGACTAGTGAAGAACCCTGCTACGCCTTGCCTGCTACTTGATACTTGTTCAGAGTAATGTTGTTCCCTCTACTCCTCTCCCTCGTCGTCTGTGCGGCTGCGTCGTTCACGTTCCCCACGAGACTCGTACTCCAATCACCTACTGGGCTATTCCTCGAGAACCTTGCCGTGCGACCAAACGGGAAACTTCTAATTACCTCTCCGGAATCCTCGACGCTCCATATGCTCGACCCCACCGTTGAGAACCCGACTTTCGACGAAGTCCACACCTTCCCAAATGTTACTCTCTTCGGCATTGCTGAGGTCCAGCCCGACGTTTACGGGATCATCGCCTTCGTGCTCAATGTCACGACACTTAGCGCTGTCCCCGGCACTATCGCCATCTGGCGCATGGATCTGAGCTCGGGTGGTCCGCCTGTGGTCAACAAGGCTGCAGACGTCCCCGATGGCATGTTCCTGGACGGGCTTGGCGCCGTTCCGGGGGAGCCTGACCTCGTCCTCGGCGCGGACACCGCTGCGGGACGAGTATGGCAAATCAATCTGCGGACGGGCGTTGTGCGCATCGCAGCTCAAGACGATGCGTTCGCGCCCGGCGCACCCGTGCCTGCGTTCGGCATCAACGGCCTCCACGTACGCGGCGGTGATCTGTATTTCACCAACTCGCAGAAGAAGACGTTCTCGCGGGTTCCGATATCAGTGCGTGGCGGAAATGTCGCGCAAGCCGGGCCCATTCAGGTGCTCGGATCCGCGAATGGGACGAACGAATTCGACGACTTTGTGTTTGATGCAGCGGGGCGCGTGTGGGCGGCGACATTTCCAGACACGCTCACGTTATTCTTCCCGCCTACCCAGGGGAATGGGATGCTCGGGCAGCTCAATGCGCCGGGAATCCCGTCGAGTTCGATAGCCCGACTTCGGCTGCGTTTGGGCGGGGTGGGGTTGCTCAGCAGCATACGTTGTATGTGACAACACAGGCTGGGCAGTTGATCGCCATTGATACCACTGGTATCCGTGTATGAGAAGTCCTGGGGTAGGACGGTTGAAAGATACTCCGTAATATTTTTTCAAAACCTCCCATAGGTATCCTTTTGTTCAAACAGTTGCTCGTATATGCTATTCACTTTGTAAAATAAATAAATGGCACATCGGTTTTGATATTTTGGCAGAAAATGTGATTCTGAAGCACAATCACATGAATTTCAGGCCCATCGCGATTTTCAGCTGGACGCGATCGCGATTTTAATCAAGTCATATCGTGATTCTCATGTTAAGAGGTCATGAGTTTTGAGAGTGGTCTGAGGCCGTGGATGGCGATGTAAAAGGACTTCTGCCCCCCGTCGGGCGCGATGAGTGGGGTTCTGGCGGCCGCGGCGGCGTCGCGTCGGGCGTCGGGCGTCGTAATTCTTCCCCCTTGCCCAGGGGTATAGGATGCTCGGGCAGCTCAATGCGCCAGGGAATCCCGTCGAGTTCGATAGCCCGACTTCGGCTGCGTTTGGGCGGGGTGGGGTTGCTCAGCAGCACACGTTGTATGTGACAACACAGGCTGGACAGTTGATCGCCGTTGATACCACTGGTATCCGTGTATGAGAAGTCCTGGGGTAGGACGGTTGAAAGATACTCCGTAATATTTTTTCAAACACGCACCTCCCATAGGTAACCCTTTGTCCAAACAGTTGCTCGTATATGCTGTTCACTTTGTAAAATAAATAAATGGCACATCGGTTTTGATATTTTGGCAGAAAATGTGATTCTGAAGCACAATCACATGAGTTTCAAACCCCATCGCGATTTTCAGCTGGACATTGGCTGGACGCGATCGCGATTTTAATCGAGTCATATCGTGATTCTCCCGCATCAATGACGTCACCCGCTCCCATCCCATCGTTCTTGGTTCCAACCAAATTCCAACTCGCTCGACGCTGATTTCACGAAGCACCCCGTGATGGACCTGGGTCGCTTCGTCCGCCCTCGAGTCCCATCGAACGCACCCTAATCAACGCGGCTCTCATCCTCGCCTCCCCGTGCCTCTCATTCATCAGTCACATCCATCCATTCACTTTTATTTTTGGCTTGCCCCGCGTCCACTTACTACTGTACTATTTCGACCAAGTATTCAGCGGGTGTGACCAGTGACCATAAGTATTCATTTCCCATCAATTCAACCGTGATCGAGACCTGTGACCACTATTTTCAGCATTCATTTTGCAAGTATTCAGCTCAAATTTCGCCTCGAAAGACCACCAAAATTGCCCAGAGGAATGAATTTCCCGCAGAAACAGACCCAATTGGACTGCATCTTCTAACAAACTGGCATCAAAAAAGGATCACCGGTGGCTGGAGAAAATTTTCAATTTTCCGGCCAGCAACCACATAAAACGGTCAAGTATTCAAGGCCCTCGGTGACATGTGACACATTTGGAAAGCCTTCAATTCAACAGGCGCTGTGACCAGTGACTGAATACTTGGTCGTAATAGTACAGTATCCACGCGCACGTTCCCTTGTCGTAACCACGCGCCCGTCCCTCCTCGCCTCGCAGCGTCCCCTTCCCCACCTCTCCGCATCTTAATCATCCTGGTGTGTTCTCCCTTCACACCCCGCCGCTTCATTCCCTCCCGCCACTCTTCCTCATCCGCCCGCGTCCGTCTCCCCTCGCCCTCGCCCTCGCCCTCTCTTCCTCCTCTTACCGCACAATCTTCCTCTCCTCCCTCCCTCCCCTCCGACCGTCCGCTCTCTCCACCCTCTGTCCCCCACTTCGGTCCGTGTCCGTGTCCGTGTCCAAGTCCCCCGTCGCCATCCCACCCGCCACCGTCCCCTTCCGCCGCATCAGCGCCCACCACCCGCCCGTGTCCCGTACATC